ATAGGTTTGTCGCTCGCTGCACTTGCCCCTGCAGCCCTGCTAGAGGCTACCTGGGGGAGCTTTGTCTGTGCGTGGTGTGTGTAGCACATAGACACTGCTGCTGCTTCTCGCTAGCTAACAGCATTTGCCCCTCGAACCATGCTAGAGGCTACCTGGGGTAGCTTTGTCTGCGTGTGGTGTCTGAGTCATTAAAAATTACAAATTGTTCCATACCCCAGGGGATGTCTCAGAGGACCTCCAGTACCCTCCCCTCGTCTCTGTGAGTCTCTGTGGTTCTCTATGAGTGTGGGTCTCTGTGGGTCTCTGTGGGTCTCTGTGGGTCTCTATGATTCTGGGTCTCTGTGGGTCTCTATGAGTCTGGGTCTCTGTGGGTCTCTATGACTCTGGGTCTCTGTGGGTCTCTATGAGTGTGGGTCTCTGTGGGTCTCTATGAGTCTGGGTCTCTGTGGGTCTCTGTGGGTCTCTATTAGTCTGGATCTCTGTGGGTCTCTGTGGGTCTCTATTAGTATGGGTCTCTGTGGGTCTCTGTGTGTCTCTATGAGTCTGGGTCTCTGTGGGTCTCTAAGAGACTGGTTCTCTGTGGGTCTCTATGAGTGTGGGTCTCTATGATTATGGGTCTCTGTGGGTCTCTATGAGTCTGGGTCTCTGTGGGTCTCTGTGGGTCTCTATGAGTGTGGGTTTCTGTGGGTCTGTGTGGGTCTCTTATAGTATGGGTCTCTGTGGGTCTCTATGAGTGTGGGTTTCTGTGGGTCTCTGTGGGTCTCTTATAGTATGGGTCTCTGTGGGTCTCTAAGAGACTGGGTCTCTGTGGGTGTCTCAGAGTCTGGGTCTCAGTGGGTCTCTATGAGTCTGGGTCTCTGTGGGTCTCTATGAGTGTGGGTCTCTGTGGGTCTCTGTGGGTCTCTATGAGTGTGGGTCTCTATGAGTGTGGGTCTCTGTGGGTCTCTGTGGGTCTCTATGAGTGTGGGTCTCTGTGGGTCTCTATGATTATGGGTCACTGTGGGTCTCTGTGGGTCTCTTATAGTATGGGTCTCTAAGAGACTGGGTCTCTGTGGGTCTCTATGAGTGTGGGTCTCTATGAGTCTGGGTCTCTGTGGGTCTCTATGAGTGTGGGTCTCTAAGAGACTGGGTCTCTGTGGGTCTCTATGAGTGTGGGTCTCTATGAGTCTGGGTCTCTGTGGGTCTCTATGAGTGTGGGTCTCTGTGGGTCTCTGTGGGTCTCTATGAGTGTGGGTCTCTGTGGGTCTCTATGAGTGTGGGTCTCTGTGGGTCTCTATGAGTCTGGGCCTCTGTGGGTCTCTATGAGTCTGGGTCTCTGTGGGTCTCTATGGGTGTGGGTCTCTGTGGGTCTCTATGAGTGTGGGTCTCTGTGAGTCTCTATGGGTCTCTATGAGTGTGGGTCTCTATGAGTCTGGGTCTCTGTGGGTCTCTATGAGTGTGAGTCTCTGTGGGTCTCTATGAGTGTGAGTCTCTGTGGGTCTCTATGATTATGGGTCTCTGGGTCTCTGTGGGTCTCATAACAAGATTCCTCTGTAGAGACCCCCTTTAGCCCCCCTCACACCCCCTGTAGACACCCTGTAGAGACCCCCTTTAGCCCCCCTTACACCCCCTGTAGACCCCCTGTAGAGACCCCCTTTAGCCCCCTTACACCCCCTGTAGACCCTTTGTAGAGACCCCCTTTAGCCCCCCTCACACCCCCTGTAGACCCCCTGTAGAGACCCCCTTTAGCCCCCCTTACACCCCCTGTAGACCCTTTGTAGAGACCCCCTTTAGCCCCCCTCACACCCCCTGTAGACCCCCTGTAGAGACCCCCTTTAGCCCCCCTTATACCCCCTGTAGACCCCCTGTAGAGACCCCCTTTAGCCCCCCTTACACCCCCTGTAGACCCCCTGTAGAGACCCCCTTTAGCCCCCCTCACACCCCCTGTAGACCCCCTGTAGAGACCCCCTTTAGCCCCCCTCACACCCCCTGTAGACCCCCTGTAGAGACCCCCTTTAGCCCCCCTTACACCCCCTGTAGACCCCCTGTAGAGACCCCCTTTAGCCCCCCTTACACCCCCTGTAGACCCCCTGTAGAGACCCCCTTTAGCCCCCCTCACACCCCCTGTAGACCCCCTGTAGAGACCCCCTTTAGCCCCCCTCACACCCCCTGTAGACCCCCTGTAGAGACCCCCTTTAACCCCCTCACACCCCTGTAGACCCCCTGTAGAGACCCCCTTTAGCCCCCGCTTACACCCCCTGTAGACCCCCTGTAGAGACCCCCTTTAGCCCCCCTTACACCCCCTGTAGACCCCCTGTAGAGACCCCCTTTAGCCCCCCTCACACCCCCTGTAGACCCCCTGTAGAGACCCCCTCTAGCCCCCCTTACACCCCCTGTAGACCCCTGTAGAGACCCCCTTTAGCCCCCCTTATACCCCCTGTAGACCCCTGTAGAGACCCCCTTTAGCCCCCCTTACACCCCCTGTAGACCCCCTGTAGAGACCCCCTTTAGCCCCCCTCACACCCCCTGTAGACCCCTTGTAGAGACCCCCTTTAGCCCCCCTCACACCCCCTGTAGACCCCCTGTAGGGACCCCCTTTAGCCCCCCTCACACCCCCTGTAGACCCCCTGTAGAGACCCCCTTTAGCCCCCCTCACACCCCCTGTAGACCCCCTGTAGAGACCCCCTTTAGCCCCCCTCACACCCCCTGTAGACCCCCTGTAGAGACCCCCTTTAGCCCCCCTTATACCCCCTGTAGACCCCCTGTAGAGACCCCCTTTAGCCCCCCTTATACCCCCTGTAGACCCCCTGTAGAGACCCCCTTTAGCCCCCCTTATACCCCCTGTAGACCCCCTGTAGAGACCCCTTTTAGCCCCCCTTATACCCCCTGTAGACCCCTGTAGAGACCCCCTTTAGCCCCCCTTATACCCCCTGTAGACCCCTGTAGAGACCCCGTTTAGCCCCCCTTATACCCCCTGTAGACCCCCTGTAGAGACCCCTTTTAGCCCCCCTTACACCCCCTGTAGACCCCCTGTAGAGACCCCTTTTAGCCCCCCTTATACCCCCTGTAGACCCCCTGTAGAGACCCCTTTGGCCCCCCTCACACCCCCTGTAGACCCCCTGTAGAGACCCCTTTTAGCCCCCCTTATACCCCCTGTCTCCGTGTCTCTCTATCGCCCCTTCGTGGCCTGCTCTGTCCCTGCTCCCCCCCTCGTTACAATCTAATGAATATTCATGAGTTGCAACGCCCCCATCTCATGAATATTCATGAGCTGCAACGCCCCATCTCATGAATATTCATGAGCTGCAACGCCCCCCATCTAATGAATATTCATGAGCTGCAACGCCCCATCTCATGAATATTCATGAGCTGCAACGCCCCCCATCTAATGAATATTCATGAGTTGCAACGCCCCCCATCTCATGAATATTCATGAGCTGCAACGCCCCCATCTCATGAATATTCATGAGTTGCAACGCCCCCCATCTCATGAATATTCATGAGTTGCAACGCCCCATCTCATGAATATTCATGAGCTGCAACGCCCCATCTCATGAATATTCATGAGCTGCAACGCCCCCCATCTAATGAATATTCATGAGTTGCAACGCCCCCCATCTCATGAATATTCATGAGCTGCAACGCCCCATCTCATGAATATTCATGAGCTGCAACGCCCCCCATCTAATGAATATTCATGAGCTGCAACGCCCCCCATCTCATGAATATTCATGAGCTGCAACGCCCCCTTTTCATGAATAGTCATGAGCTGCAACGCCCCCTTCTCATGAATATTCATGAGCCGCAACGCCCCCTTCTCATGAATATTCATGAGATGCAACGCGCCCATCTCATGAATATTCATGAGCTGCAACGCCCCCATCTCATGAATATTCATGAGCTGCAACGCCCCCATCTCATGAATATTCATGAGCTGCAACGGCCCCATCTCATGAATATTCATGAGCTGCAACGCCCCCCATCTAATGAATATTCATGAGTTGCAACGCCCCCATCTCATGAATATTCATGAGATGCAACGCCCCATCTCATGAATATTCATGAGCTGCAACGCCCCCCATCTAATGAATATTCATGAGTTGCAACGCCCCCCATCTAATGAATATTCATGAGCTGCAACGCCCCATCTCATGAATATTCATGAGCTGCAACGCCCCCCATCTAATGAATATTCATGAGCTGCAACGCCCCCCATCTCATGAATATTCATGAGCTGCAACGCCCCCTTTTCATGAATAGTCATGAGCTGCAACGCCCCCTTCTCATGAATATTCATGAGCCGCAACGCCCCTTCTCATGAATATTCATGAGATGCAACGCGCCCATCTCATGAATATTCATGAGCTGCAACGCCCCCATCTCATGAATATTCATGAGCTGCAACGCCCCCATCTCATGAATATTCATGAGCTGCAACGGCCCCATCTCATGAATATTCATGAGCTGCAACGCCCCCATCTCATGAATATTCATGAGCCGCAACACCCCTTCTCATGAATATTCATGATATGCAACGCCCCCTTCTCATGAATATTCATGAGAAGCAACGCCCCCATCTCATGAATATTCATGAGCTGCAACGCCCCCCCATCTCATGAATATTCATGAGCTGCAACGCCCCCATCTCATGAATATTCATGAGCTTTAACGCCCCCACCCCCACCCCCTATGACATCAGCGTTGTTGGTCCAGCCCGGCAACCGTCATCGCCCGCGGACTCTACCAACTGGGTAGGGGTGTGTCGGCATGACGTCACAACCGCACATTATTTAAACAACAAAAAAAACTCAATTATAATCGCATCGTAATTTTCTCATTGTTGACGCTGTTGGCGCGACTGCCACGCAGTTATTTAATTTTATTTAATTAAAAATAATCTAAGTTAATTTAACCTCCCCAACCGCTTTAACGTGAATGGTTAGACCCACTTTCTCCAACACCCCCCCCCCCTCCACACACAACCGCCACCTCAGTTGGTACAGTCCAACTGGAGTATAAATACGCGGGGTAGCTGGTGACGCGGCTTCCTCTGCGCGCGCGCGACGTCCGTTGGGCCCCTTCGCTTCCGCCTCCTCTCTGCCGCGTGTCACTCCGCGCCCGGACTTCTTTTTTTGTCGTCGTTGCATTTTGGTAAGCAGAACGCAACAAACAAAAAAAAGATTTTACGACGAGATAAAAATCTAAAAAAAATCGCGCACGGCTCTCGTGCGTTGGCCGAGTTAAGTTACGGGGTGAGAATTAACGAGAGTTTTGTAAAATGTTTAAAAAAAAAGATTTCATTTGAACGTCAACGAGGTTTTTTAACATGGTGGCTGGGTGGAGGGAGGAGTTTGTATTTCGTAGTCCGCATTGTCGGCGCTCGAACCCCATTGGCCGCGCCCTCGTGCCACGTGGCGCGCCAGGCCGGCGGCGATTGGCTGGCGCGGCGGGGCCGGTCAGTTGTGGGCGGAGCTAGTGGCGTATCCGCGGTGGGAAATTAAATTGCAGGGCCTTTTTTTTTAAACCGATAAAGTTAAAAACTTTTAACGTTTAATTTTTTATTTTATAAAAATTAAATTGTTAGAACGTTCCATATGAAATGTTACGCTAGCAACTGTCGGGATAAATTTTAGGTTTACTTTTTTCATTGAAAATCTATTTTCCTTAAAACTAATCATTTTAATGTTTAGTAAGTTTGTGTAGTTGTATTTCGTGTTGTTGTTATTTGTTTCTGTAGTTGTTTGTTTGTGTAGTCCGTAAGTTGCTTTTTGCTGTGTCCTGGTGAGGTGGGTGGATTAGTGTGTGTGTCACTGTATCATTGTGTGTCTGTCACTGTCTGTGTCACTGTGTCTGTGTCACTGTGTCTGTGTGTGTGTGTCACTGTGTCTGTGTGTCTGTCACTGTGTCTGTGTGTCTGTCACACTGTGTCACTATGTGTGTGTGTGTCTGTCACTGTGTGTGTGTGTGTCACTGTGTGTGTGTGTGTCACTGTGTGTGTGTCACTGTGTCTGTGTGTCTGTCACTGTGTCTGTGTGTCACTGTGTGTGTGTGTGTCACTGTGTGTGTGTGTGTCACTGTGTGTGTGTGTGTCACTGTGTGTGTCTGTCACTGTGTCTGTCACTGTATCATTGTGCGTGTGTCTGTCTGTCACTGTGTGTGTGTCACTGTATCATTGTGTGTCTATCACTGTGTCTGTGTGTGTCTGTCACTGTCTGTGTCACTATGTGTGTGTGTGTCTGTCTGTCACTGTGTCTGTGTGTGTCTGTCACTGTCTGTGTCACTGTGTGTGTGTGTCTGTCTGTCACTGTGTCTGTGTGTGTCTGTCACTGTCTGTGTCACTATGTGTGTGTGTCTGTCTGTCACTGTGTCTGTGTGTGTCTGTCACTGTCTGTGTCACTATGTGTGTGTGTGTCTGTCACTATGTGTGTGTGTGTCTGTCACTGTGTCTGTGTGTGTCTGTCACTGTCTGTGTCACTATGTGTGTGTGTGTCTGTCACTATGTGTGTGTGTGTCTGTCACTGTGTCTGTGTGTGTCTGTCACTGTCTGTGTCACTATGTGTGTGTGTGTCTGTCACTATGTGTGTGTGTGTCTGTCACTATGTGTGTGTGTGTCTGTCACTGTGTCTGTGTGTGTCTGTCACTGTCTGTGTCACTATGTGTGTGTGTGTCTGTCTGTCACTGTGTCTGTCTCTCACTGTCTGTGTCACTATGTGTGTGTGTGTCTGTCTGTCACTGTGTCTGTGTGTGTCTGTCACTGTCTGTGTCACTATGTGTGTGTGTGTCTGTCTGTCACTGTGTCTGTGTGTGTCTGTCACTGTCTGTGTCACTATGTGTGTGTGTCTGTCTGTCACTGTGTCTGTGTGTGTCTGTCACTGTCTGTGTCACTATGTGTGTGTGTGTCTGTCACTGTGTCTGTGTGTGTCTGTCACTGTGTCACTATGTGTGTGTGTGTCTGTCTGTCACTGTGTGTGTATCACTGTGCGTCACTGTCTGTCACACTGTGTCACTGTCTGTCACTGTGTGTGTCACTGTATCATTGTGTGTCACTGTGTGTGTGTGTCTGTCTGTCACTGTATGTGTGTCACTGTGTGTGTGTCCCCGTGTCTGTGTGTCTGTCACTGTGTCACTGTGTGTCTGTCACACTGTGTCACTATGTGTGTGTGTGTGTCTGTCTGTCACTGTGCGTCACTGTGTGTCTGTCACACTGTGTCACTGTGTGTGTGTCTGTCTGTCACTGTGTGTGTCTGTCACTGTGTGTGTCTGTCACTGTCTGTGTCACAGTGTGTGTGTGTCTGTCTGTCACTGTGTGTGTGTGTCTGTCTGTCACTGTGCGTGTGTCACTGTGTGTCACTGTGTGTGTGTCACTGTGTGTCACTGTCTGTCACTGTGTGTGTGTGTCACTGTATCATTGTGTGTCACTGTGTGTGTCACTGTGTGTGTGTGTGTCACTGTGTGTGTGTGTGTCTGTCACTGTATCATTGTGTGTGTGTGTCACTGTGTCACTATTTTTGTTGCAGTGTGATGCTGATGATTGTGTGCGGGTGTCTGCACACACACACTGACACACGCACACTGACACACACACACACACTGTCATGGTTGTGGTGGTGGTGTGGTAGTGGCTGTGGTGTGGTAGTGGCTGTGGTGTGATGTTGGTGGTAGTGGTGGTCACGGTTGTGGTGTGGTAGTGGTGTGGTAATGGTAGTGGTGTGGTGTGGTGGTAATGGTAGTGGTGTGGTGTAGTGGTGTGGTGTAGTGGTGGGTGTGGTAGTGGTGGTCACGGTTGTGGTGTGGTAATGGTGGTGGTGTGGTAGTGGTGGTGTAGTGGTGGTGTAGTAGTGGTGGGTGTGGTTGTGGTAGTGGTGGTGTAGTGGTGGTGTAGTAGTGGTGGGTGTGGTTGTGGTAGTGGTGGTGTAGTGGTGGTGTAGTAGTGGTGGGTGTGGTTGTGGTAGTGGTGTGGTAATGGTGGTGGTGTGGTAGTGGTGGTTTAGTGGTGGTGTAGTAGTGGTGGGTGTGGTGTGGTAATGGTGGTGTAGTGGTGGTGTAGTAGTGGTGGGTGTGGTTGTGGTAGTGGTGGTGTAGTGGTGGTGTAGTAGTGGTGGGTGTGGTGTGGTAGTGGTGGTCACGGTTGTGGTGTGGTAATGGTGGTGGTGGTGTAGTGGTGGTGTGGAAATGGTGGTGGTGTGGTAGTGGTGTGGTAGTGGCGGTGTAGTGGTGGTGTAGTGGTGGGTGTGGGTGTGGTGGTTGTGGTGTGGTAGTGGTGGTCACGGTTGTGGTGTGGTAATGGTGGTGGTGGTGTAGTGGTGGTGTGGAAATGGTGGTGGTGTGGTAGTGGTGTGGTAGTGGCGGTGTAGTCGTGGCGGTGTAGTAGTGGTGGTGTAGTGGTGGTGTAGTGGTGGTGTAGTGGTGGTGTAGTAGTGGTGGTAGTGGTGGTGTAGTGGTGGTGTAGTAGTGGTGGGTGTGGTTGTGGTAGTGGTGGTGTAGTAGTGGTGGGTGTGGTGTGGTAGTGGTGGTCACGGTTGTGGTGTGGTAATGGTGGTGGTGTGGTAGTGGTGTGGTAGTGTAGTGGTGTGGTAGTGGTGGTGTAGTAGTGGTGGTGTGGTAATGGTGGCGGCGGTGATTTATTCGTGACCTTTTGTGCCGTGGTTGTGGTGGTTGTGGCGGCGGTCATTCTATTTATTATCTGTGACCTTTCGTGCGGCGGTGGTGGCGGTGGTGGTAATCCGTGACCTTCCCTGCGAATGCTCCGCTAATTGGCTCAGGAACTCCTCGCTAACGAGCTCCCGGCTCCACTCGCCCCCAATCCCCGTTCATCTCTTCGTTCTCACTGTGGGTGGGTGCACGGTGGCCGTGTGGGTGGGTGGGTTAATGGTGGGTGGGTGGGTTAACGATGGCCGTGTGGGTGGGTGGGTTAACGATGGCCATGTGGGTGGGTGGGTTAACGATGGCCATGTGGGTGGGTGGGTTAACGATGGCCGTGTGGGTGGGTGGGTTAATGGTGGGTGGGTTAACGATGGCCGTGTGGGTGGGTGGGTTAATGGTGGGTGGGTGGGTTAACGATGGCCATGTGGGTGGGTGGGTTAATGGTGGGTGGGTGGGTTAACGATGGCCGTGTGGGTGGGTGGGTTAATGGTGGGTGGGTGAACGATGGCCATGTGGGTGGGTGGGTTAATGGTGGGTGGGTGGGTTAACGATGGCCATGTGGGTGGGTGGGTTAACGATGGCCATGTGGGTGGGTGGGTTAACGATGGCCATGTGGGTGGGTGGGTTAATGGTGGGTGGGTTAACGATGGCCGTGTGGGTGGGTGGGTTAATGGTGGGTGGGTTAACGATGGCCATGTGGGTGGGTGGGTTAATGGTGGGTGGGTTAACAATGGCCGTGTGGGTGGGTGGGTTAATGGTGGGTGGGTGGGTTAACGATGGCCATGTGGGTGGGTGGGTTAACGATGGCCGTGTGGGTGGGTTAATGGTGGGTGGGTGGGTTAATGGTGGGTGGGTTAATGGTGGGTGGGTTAATGGTGGGTGGGTTAATGGTGGGTGGGTGGGTTCACGGTGGCCATGTGGGTGGGTGGGTTAATGGTGGGTGGGTGGGTTAATGGTGGGTGGGGTTAATGGTGGGTGGGTTAATGGTGGGTGGGTTAATGGTGGGTGGGTGGGTGCACGGTGGCCGTGTGGGTGGGTGGGTTAATGGTGGGTGGGTGGGTGCACGGTGGCCGTGTGGGTGGGTGGGTTAATGGTGGGTGGGTGGGTTAATGGTGGGTGGGTGGGTGCACGGTGGCCGTGTGGGTGGGTGGGTTAATGGTGGGTGGGTGCACGGTGGCCGTGTGGGTGGGTTAATGGTGGGTGGGTGGGTTAACGATGGCCATGTGGGTGGGTGGGTTAACGATGGCCGTGTGGGTGGGTTAATGGTGGGTGGGTGGGTTAATGGTGGGTGGGTTAATGGTGGGTGGGTTAATGGTGGGTGGGTGGGTTCACGGTGGCCATGTGGGTGGGTGGGTTAATGGTGGGTGGGTGGGTTAATGGTGGGTGGGTTAATGGTGGGTGGGTTGATGGTGGGTGGGTTAATGGGGGGTGGGTGGGTGCACGGTGGCCGTGTGGGTGGGTGGGTTAATGGTGGGTGGGTGGGTGCACGGTGGCCGTGTGGGTGGGTGGGTTAATGGTGGGTGGGTGGGTTAATGGTGGGTGGGTGGGTGCACGGTGGCCGTGTGGGTGGGTGGGTTAATGGTGGGTGGGTGCACGGTGGCCGTGTGGGTGGGTTAATGGTGGGTGGGTGGGTTAACGATGGCCATGTGGGTGGGTGGGTTAACGATGGCCGTGTGGGTGGGTTAATGTGGGTGGGTGGGTTAATGGTGGGTGGGTTAATGGTGGGTGGGTGGGTTCACGGTGGCCATGTGGGTGGGTGGGTTAATGGTGGGTGGGTGGGTTAATGGTGGGTGGGTTAATGGTGGGGTGGGTTAATGGTGGGTGGGTGGGTGCACGGTGGCCGTGTGGGTGGGTGGGTTAATGGTGGGTGGGTGGGTGCATGGTGGCCGTGTGGGTGGGTGGGTTAATGGTGGGTGGGTGGGTGCACGGTGGCCGTGTGGGTGGGTGGGTTAATGGTGGGTGGGTGCACGGTGGCCGTGTGGGGGGGGTTAATGGTGGGTGGGTGGGTGCACGGTGGCCGTGTGGGTGGGTGGGTTAATGGTGGGTGGGTTAATGGTGGGTGGGTTAATGGTGGGTGGGTTAATGGTGGGTGGGTAATGGTGGGTGGGTGGGTGCACGGTGGCCGTGTGGGTGGGTGGGTTAATGGTGGTGGGTGGGTTAATGGTGGGTGGGTTAATGGTGGGTGGGTGGGTGCACGATGGCCGTGTGGGTGGGTGGGTTAATGGTGGGTGGGTGCACGGTGGCCGTGTGGGTGGGTGGGTTAATGGTGGGTGGGTGGGTTGCACGGTGGCCGTGTGGGTGGGTGGGTTAATGGTGGGTGGGTTAATGGTGGGTGGGTTAATGGTGGGTGGGTTAATGGTGGGTGGGTGGGTGCACGGTGGCCGTGTGGGTGGGTGGGTTAATGGTGGGTGGGTGGGTTAATGGTGGGTGGGTGGGTGGGTTAATGGTGGGTGGGTGGGTGCACGGTGGCCGTGTGGGTGGGTGGGTTAATGGTTGGTGGGTGGGTTAATGGTGGGTGGGTTAATGGTGGGTGGGTTAATGGTGGGTGGGTTAATGGTGGGTGGGTGGGTTAATGGTGGGTGGGTGGGTTAATGGTGGGTGGGTGGGTTAATGGTGGGTGGGTGGGTTAATGGTGGGTGGGTGGGTTAATGGTGGGTGGGTTCACGATGGGTGGGTTCACGATGGCCGTGTGGGTGGGTGGGTTAATGGTGGGTGGGTGGGTTAATGGTGGGTGGGTGGGTTAATGGTGGGTGGGTGGGTTAATGGTGGGTGGGTGCACGGTGGCCGTGTGGGTGGGTGGGTTAATGGTGGGTGGGTGGGTTAATGGTGGGTGGGTGGGTTAATGGTGGGTGGGTGGGTTAATGGTGGGTGGGTGGGTTAATGGTGGGTGGGTGGGTTAATGGTGGGTGGGTTCACGATGGCTGTGTGGGTGGGTTAATGGTGGGTGGGTTAATGGTGGGTGGGTGCACAGTGGCCGTGTGGGTGGGTGGGTTAATGGTGGGTGGGTTAATGGTGGGTGGGTTAATGGTGGGTGGGTTAATGGTGGGTGGGTTAATGGTGGGTGGGTTAATGGTGGGTGGGTGGGTGCACGGTGGCCGTGTGGGTGGGTGGGTTAATGGTGGGTGGGTGGGTTAATGGTGGGTGGGTGGGTTAATGGTGGGTGGGTGGGTTAATGGTGGGTGGGTGGGTGGGTTAATGGTGGGTGGGTGGGTTAATGGTGGGTGGGTGGGTTAATGGTGGGTGGGTGGGTTAATGGTGGGTGGGTGGGTTAATGGTGGGTGGGTGGGTTAATGGTGGGTGGGTGGGTTAATGGTGGGTGGGTGGGTTAATGGTGGGTGGGTGGGTTAATGGTGGGTGGGTGGGTTAATGGTGGGTGGGTGGGTTAATGGTGGGTGGGTGGGTGGGTGCACGGTGGCCGTGTGGGTGGGTGGGTTAATGGTGGGTGGGTTAATGGTGGGTGGGTTAATGGTGGGTGGGTGGGTGGGTGGGTGCACGGTGGCCGTGTGGGTGGGTGGGTTAATGGTGGGTGGGTGGGTTAATGGTGGGTGGGTGGGTTAATGGTGGGTGGGTGGGTTAATGGTGGGTGGGTGGGTTAATGGTGGGTGGGTGGGTTAATGGTGGGTGGGTGGGTTAATGGTGGGTGGGTGGGTTAATGGTGGGTGGGTGGGTTAATGGTGGTGGGTGGGTTAATGGTGGGTGGGTGGGTTAATGGTGGGTGGGTTTCACGATGGCTGGGTGGGTGGGTTAATGGTGGGTGGGTTCACGATGGCTGTGTGGGTGGGTTAATGGTGGGTGGGTGCACAGTGGCCGTGTGGGTGGGTGGGTTAATGGTGGGTGGGTTAATGGTGGGTGGGTTAATGGTGGGTGGGTTAATGGTGGGTGGGTTAATGGTGGGTGGGTGCACGGTGGCCGTGTGGGTGGGATCTGTAGCATAACACTTCAGTTACATTATTGCATCGTGTGTGACGCTGTGTGTGTGTAGTCCCGTTGTGTTGTGATGTCAGTGTGACGCTGTGTGTGTGTAGTCCCGTTGTGTTGTGATGTCAGTGTGACGCTGTGTGTGTGTAGTCCCGTTGTGTTGTGATGTCGGTGTGACTGTGTGTGTGTAGTCCCGTTGTGTTGTGATGTCGGTGTGACTCTGTGTGTGTGTAGTCGTGTTGTGATGTCGGTGTGACGCTGTGTGTGTGTAGTCCCGTTGTGTTGTGATGTCGGTGTGACGCTGTGTGTGTAGTCCCGTTGTGTTGTGATGTCGGTGTGACTGTGTGTGTGTAGTCCCGTTGTGTTGTGATGTCGGTGTGACTGTGTGTGTAGTCCCGTTGTGTTGTGATGTCGGTGTGACTCTGTGTGTGTGTAGTCCCGTTGTGATGTCGGTGTGACTCTGTGTGTGTAGTCCCGTTGTGTTGTGATGTCGGTGTGACTCTGTGTGTAGTCCCGTTGTGTTGTGATGTCGGTGTGACTCTGTGTGTGTGTAGTCCCGTTGTGATGTCGGTGTGACTCTGTGTGTGTGTAGTCCCATTGTGTTGTGATGTCGGTGTGACTCTGTGTGTGTGTAGTTCCATTGTGTTGTGATGTTGGTGTGACGTTGTGTGTAGTTCCATTGTGTTGTGATGTCGGTGTGACGTTGTGTGTAGTTCCATTGTGTTGTGATGTTGGTGTGACGTTGTGTGTAGTTCCATTGTGTTGTGATGTTGGTGTGACGTTGTGTGTAGTTCCATTGTGTTGTGATGTCGGTGTGACGTTGTGTGTAGTTCCATTGTGTTGTGATGTTGGTGTGACGTTGTGTGTAGTTCCATTGTGTTGTGATGTCTGCAGTGTGTGTAGTTCCATTGTGTTGTGATGTTGGTGTGACGCTGTGTAGTTCCATTGTGTTGTGATGTTGGTGTGACGCTGTGTGTAGTTCCATTGTGTTGTGATGTCTGCAGTGTGTGTAGTTCCATTGTGTTGTGATGTCTGCTGTGTGTGTGACGCTGTGTGTCGTCTCACCGTGTTGTGTGACGCTGCGCGTGTGACGTTGTAGAGAGATGGAGCGAACTTTCTTGGCGGTGAAGCCCGATGGAGTCCAAAGGGGACTGGTGGGCGAGATTGTTGGGCGCTTCGAGAAGAAGGGCTTCCACCTCGTGGCACTCAAGATGATTCACGTGAGGCTCTCTCGCTCGCTCAGAGACTCGCTCGCTCACTCAGACACTGACTCACTCAGAGACTCGCTCGCTCAGAGACTCGCTCAGACTCACTCACTCAGAGACTCACTCACACAGAGACTCACTCAGACTCAGAGACTCAGTCACTCACAGACTCGCTCGCTCAGAGACTCGCTCAGACTCACTCGCTCAGAGACTCAGTCACTCACAGACTCGCTCGCTCATTCAGAGACTCATTCAGACTCACTCAGAGACTCACTCACTCAGAGACTCGCTCGCTCACAGACTCGCTCGCTCAGAGACTCACTCTCTCGCTCAGAGACTCACTCACTCGCTCAGAGATTCGCTCACTCAGAAACTCACTCGCTCAGAGACTCACACTCTCGCTCAGAGACTCACTCGCTCGCTCGGAGACTCACTCAGACTCGCTCGCTCGCTCAGAGACTCACTCGCTCGCTCAGACTCGCTCGCTCACTCAGAGATTCGCTCACTCAGAGACTCGCTCATCCACACTTACAGAGACCCACAGATCTGAGACCTCCTGTAGACCAGGCAAGGTAGTCAAAAATCTACACTGGGATAGAGACGCACACACACACACACTCCACCACATATACAGCAGCAGGTATCGTCAATGTCACGGGATCGAACCCACGAAGACCTCCTGTAGACCAGGCGAGGTAGTCAACATCTCACCACTGAAAGAGAGAGACACACACTCCACCACATATACAGCAGCGGGTATCGTCAGTGTCACGGGATCGAACCCACGAGACCTCCTGTAGACCAGGCGAGGTAGTCAACATCTCACCACTGAAAGAGAGAGACACACACTCCACCACATATACAGCAGCAGGTATCGTCAATGTCACGGGATCGAACCCACGAAGACCTCCTGTAGACCAGGCGAGGTAGTCAACATCTCACCACTGAAAGAGAGAGACACACACTCCACCACATATACAGCAGCGGGTATCGTCAGTGTCACGGGATCGAACCCACGAGACCTCCTGTAGACCAGGCGAGGTAGTCAACATCTCACCACTGAAAGAGAGAGACACACACTCCACCACATATACAGCAGCAGGTATCGTCAGTGTCACGGGATCGAACCCACGAGACCTCCTGTAGACCAGGCGAGGTAGTCAACATCTCACCACTGAAAGAGAGAGACACACACTCCACCACATATACAGCAGCAGGTATCGTCAGTGTCACGGGATCGAACCCACGAGACCTCCTGTAGACCAGGCGAGGTAGTCAACATCTCACCACTGAAAGAGAGAGACACACACTCCACCACATATACAGCAGCAGGTATCGTCAATGTCACGGGATCGAACCCACGAAGACCTCCTGTAGACCAGGCGAGGTAGTCAACATCTCACCACTGAAAGAGAGAGACACACACTCCACCACATATACAGCAGCGGGTATCGTCAGTGTCACGGGATCGAACCCACGAGACCTCCTGTAAACCAGGCGAGGTAGTCAACATCTCACCACTGAAAGAGAGCGACACACACTCCACCACATATACAGCAGCAGGTATCGTCAGTGTCACGGGATCGAACCCACGAGACCTCCTGTAGACCAGGCGAGGTAGTCAACATCTCACCACTGAAAGAGAGAGACACACACTCCACCACATATACAGCAGCAGGTATCGTCAGGGTCACGGGATCGAACCCACGAAGACCTCCTGTAGACCAGGCGAGGTAGTCAACATCTCACCACTGAAAGAGAGAGACACACACTCCACCACATATACAGCAGCGGGTATCGTCAGTGTCACGGGATCGAACCCACGAGACCTCCTGTAGACCAGGCGAGGTAGTCAACATCTCACCACTGAAAGAGAGAGACACACACTCCACCACATATACAGCAGCGGGTATCGTCAGTGTCACGGGATCGAACCCACGAGACCTCCTGTAGACCAGGCGAGGTAGTCAACATCTCACCACTGAAAGAGAGAGACACACACTCCACCACATATACAGCAGCGGGTATCGTCAGTGTCACGGGATCGAACCCACGAGACCTCCTGTAGACCAGGCGAGGTAGTCAACATCTCACCACTGAAAGAGAGAGACACACACTCCACCACATATACAGCAGCGGGTATCGTCAGTGTCACGGGATCGAACCCACGAGACCTCCTGTAGACCAGGCGAGGTAGTCAACATCTCACCACTGAAAGAGAGAGACACACACTCCACCACATATACAGCAGCGGGTATCGTCAGTGTCACGGGATCGAACCCACGAGACCTCCTGTAGACCAGGCGAGGTAGTCAACATCTCACCACTGAAAGAGAGAGACACACACTCCACCACATATACAGCAGCAGGTATCGTCAATGTCACGGGATCGAACCCACGAAGACCTCCTGTAGACCAGGCGAGGTAGTCAACATCTCACCACTGAAAGAGAGAGACACACACTCCACCACATATACAGCAGCAGGTATCGTCAGTGTCACGGGATCGAACCCACGAAGACCTCCTGTAGACCAGGCGAGGTAGTCAACATCTCACCACTGAAAGAGAGAGACACACACACTGGCGGAACCAGTGGGGGGGGGGGTGGGGTGGCACGTGCCCCCTCCCCCCCCAATGATCCGATCGAAATCCCTAATTTCGATTGGATCATTGGGGTGTATTAGTAACAAGCCTTTTGCCCGTCCTAGGACTAAAGCTGTGATATTTACGAAAAAACTGGGCAGAGTACAATTGTATCCTGTGTCATCTTGCACGAAAAAAATGTCATCAAACGCTTGAGTGAATTATTAGACTGTAGCGCTGTCTTAATGGCAGTGATGCTCGCTACAAACTAGGTCCTGAAACATCTCGCTTAATGTCACTGTAGCGCTGTATTTAACTGACCTTCAATTAGCCTTTTGGCCCATCCTCGGGTGCAAGCTGTAACATTACTGGCCGACAACGCCTTACTAGCTAACAACTTTTTACTTACTAACAAGTCCTTGCCAACAACTTCTTACCCACTAACAACTCCTTACCATCATCTTGGTTCTTTCGGTAAAGTCATCACGTAGAAGGGAAATATTAAAATAATAAAAATGAAACGCAATAAAATAATTCTCACGACGTTTCGGCCACAACGCAAGCAGCCGTCCTCGGGTGAAGAACAGGTCTGTCGGGGAGACAGCGTCTGAATGAGTGAGTGAGTGAGTGACTGACTGAGTGAGTGACTGACTGAGTGAGTGACTGACTGAGTGAGTGACTGACTGAGTGAGTGACTGACTGAGTGAGTGACTGACTGAGTGAGTGACTGACTGAGTGAGTGACTGACTGAGTGAGTGACTGACTGAGTGAGTGACTGAGTGAGTGAGTGACTGAGTGGGTGAGTGAGTGAGTGACTGAGTGAGTGAGTGACTGAGTGGGTGAGTGACTGAGTGGGTGAGTGACTGAGTGGGTGAGTGACTGAGTGGGTGAGTGACTGAGTGAGTGACTGGGTGAGTGACTGGGTGAGTGACTGGGTGAGTGACTGGGTGAGTGACTGGGTGAGTGACTGGGTGAGTGACTGGGTGACTGACTGGGTGACTGACTGGGTGACTGGGTGACTGAGTGACTGAGTGACTGGGTGACTGAGTGACTGGGTGACTGAGTGACTGGGTGACTGAGTGACTGGGTGACTGAGTGACTGGGTGACTGAGTGACTGGGTGACTGAGTGACTGGGTGACTGAGTGACTGGGTGACTGAGTGACTGGGTGACTGAGTGACTGGGTGACTGAGTGACTGGGTGACTGAGTGACTGGGTGACTGAGTGACTGGGTGACTGAGTGACTGGGTGACTGGGTGACTGGGTGACTGAGTGACTGGGTGACTGGGTGACTGGGTGACTGGGTGACTGGGTGACTGAGTGACTGGTGACTGAGTTGAGTGACTGGGTGACTGAGTGACTGGGTGACTGAGTGACTGGGTGACTGAGTGACTGGGTGACTGAGTGACTGGGTGACTGAGTGACTGGGTGACTGAGTGACTGGGTGACTGAGTGACTGGGTGACTGAGTGACTGGGTGACTGAGTGACTGGGTGACTGAGTGACTGGGTGACTGAGTGACTGGGTGACTGAGTGACTGGGTGACTGAGTGACTGGGTGACTGAGTGACTGGGTGACTGAGTGACTGGGTGACTGAGTGACTGGGTGACTGAGTGACTGGGTGACTGAGTGACTGGGTGACTGAGTGACTGAGTCTGAGTGAGTCTGGTGGTGTTTCATTCAGACGCTGTCTCCCCGACAGCCCTGTTCTTCACCTGAGGACGGCTGCTTGCGTTGTGGCCGAAACGTCGTGAGAATTATTTTATTATGTTTTATTTTTATTATTTTATTACTTCCCTTCTGCATGATGACTTTACCGAAAGAACCAAGCAGATGAATCCCTGCAGTCACGAAAGCTTTAAATCGAAACTCCTTACTCACTAACAACTCTATCATTTTTCATCAGGGTCCGAGATCGAACCCACGACCTCCTGTAGACCAGGCGAGGTAGTCAACATCTCACAGGGTCCGAGATTGAACCCACGACCTCCTGTAGGCCAGGCGAGGTAGTCAACATCTCACAGGGTCCGAGATTGAACCCACGACCTCCTGTAGACCAGGCGAGGTAGTCAACATCTCATCAGGCTCCGAGATTGAACCCACGACCTCCTGTAGACCAGGCGAGGTGGTCAACATCTCACAGGGTCCGAGATTGAACCCACGACCTCCTGTAGGCCAGGCGAGGTAGTCAACATCTCACCAGGGTCCGAGATTGAACCCACGACCTCCTGTAGACCAGGCAAGGTAGTCAACATTTCATCAGGCTCCGAGATTGAACCCACGACCTCCTGTAGACCAGACGAGGTAGTCAACATCTCATCAGGGTCCGATATTGAACCCACGACCTCCTGTAGACCAGGCGAGGTAGTCAACATCTCATCAGGGTCCGAGATTGAACCCACGACCTCCTGTAGACCAGGCGAGGTTGTCAACATCTCATCAGGGTCCGAGATTGAACCCACGACCTCCTGTAGACCAGGCGAGGTGGTCAACATCTCACAGGGTCCGAGATTGAACCCACGACCTCCTGTAAACCAGGCGAGGTAGTCAACATATCCACTGGGAGAGAGACGCACACAGACTCCAAAAATACAGCAGCAGCAGGCATCGTCAGGGTCTGGGATCGAACCCTGGTGTTGGCGGTTGGTGGTGGTGTTGGCGGTTGGTGGTGGTGTTGGCGGTTGGTGGTGGTGTTGGCGGTTGGTGGTGGTGTTGGTGGTGGTGTTGGTGTTGGTGTTGGCGGTTGGTGGTGGTGTTGGTGGTGGTGTTGGCGGTTGGTGGTGGTGGCGGTTGGTGGTGGTGTTGGCGGTTGGTGGTGGTGTTGGCGGTTGGTGGTGGTGTTGGCGGTTGGTGGTGGTGTTGGCGGTTGGTGGTGGTGTTGGTGGTGGTGTTGGCGGTTGGTGGTGGTGTTGGTGGTGGTGTTGGTGGTGGTGTTGGTGGTGGTGTTGGTGGTGGTGTTGGCGGTTGGTGGTGGTGGTGTTGGCGGGTGGTGTTGGCGGTTGGTGGTGGTGGTGGTGTTGGCGGTTGGTGGTGGTGGTGTTGGCGGGTGGTGTTGGCGGTTGGTGGTGGTGGTGTTGGCGGTTGGTGGTGGTGTTGGCGGTTGGTGTTGATGGTTGTTGTTGTTGTTGACAGGCGTCACGTGAGCTGCTGCAGCAGCACTACATTGACCTCAAGGACCGGCCCTTCTACCCGGGCCTGGTGGAATACATGCACTCTGGGCCTGTCGTGGCCATGGTGAGTCGCCCGCATGCTCGCCCACACGCTCGCCCACATGCTCGCCCACTCGCCCACACGCTCACCCACCCGCCCATTCACCCACCCACTCACCCGCATGCTCACCCGCTCACTCACTCGCTCACCCACTCATTCATCCGCCCGCTCGCTCGCCCGCTCGCTCACTCGCTCACCCGCTTACCCACTCGTCCATCCTCTCGTCCCACTCACCCACTCACTCACCCATCCACTTACTCAACCACTCATCCATCCACTCACTTACCCACTCACCCATCCACTCACTCACCCATCCACTCACTCACCCACCCACCCACTCACCCACTCACCCATCCACTCACTCACTCGCCCACTCACCCACTCACTCACCCATCCACTCACTCGCTCACCCACTCACCCACCCACTCGCCCACCTACCAACTCACCCACTGCAGTGCCACTCCATGCCCAGCAGGGGTCGCTCCACCCTCGGTGCCTTCGTCAAGGTGAGGGGGTCTCTCCCCTAGGTCCACTCGGCCTCAAATAAGTTCGCTGGTGCAGTGGTGGTGATGTGGTGGTGTAGTGAACGTCGCTAGCACTGGGGGAGAGACAAAGGCGGCCGGGCGTGGTGCTGGCCACCCACCCCCTCTGTGTGCCAGTAGCCTTCATAGGTGCTGCTACTACTAACAGCACTTGCCCCTACAGCCCTGCTAGAGGCTACCTGGGGTAGCTTTGTCTGTGTGTGTGGTGTGTGTAGTACATAGACACTGCTGCTGCTACTCGCTAGCTAACGGCACTTGCCCCTCCAGCCCTGCCGGAGGCTACCTGGGGGAGATTTGTCTGTGTGCGTGGTGTGTGTAGTACATAGACACTGCTGCTGCTACTCGCTAGCTCACGGCACTTGCCCCTACAGCCCTGCTAGAGGCTACCTGGGGGAGCTTTGTCTCTGTGTGGTGTGTGTGTAGTACATAGACACTGCTGCTGCTACTCGCTAGCTTGCAGCACTTGCCCCTACAGCCCTGCTAGAGGCTACCTGGGGTAGCTTTGTCTGTGTGTGTGGTGTGTGTAGTACATAGACACTGCTGCTGCTGCTCGCTAGCTCACAGCACTTGCCCCTACAGCCCTGCTAGAGGCTACCTGGGGTAGCTTTGTCTGTGTGCGTGGTGTGTGTAGTACATAGACACTGCTGCTGCTACTACTAACAGCACTTGCCCCTACAGCCCTGCTAGAGGCTACCTGGGGTAGCTTTGTCTGTGTGCGTGGTGTGTAGTACATAGACACTGCTGCTGCTACTCGCTAGCTCACAGCACTTGCCCCACAGCCCTGCTAGAGGCTACCTGGGGTAGCTTTGTCTGTGCGTGGTGTGTGTGTAGTACATAGACACTGCTGCTGCTACTACTAACAGCACTTGCCCCTACAGCCCTGCTAGAGGCTACCTGGGGGAGCTTTACCTGTGTCTGTGTGGTGTGTGTAGTACATAGACACTGCTGCTGCTACTCGCTAGCTCACGGCACTTGCCCCTACAGCCCTGCTAGAGGCTACCTGGGGTAGCTTTGTCTGTGTGGTGTGTGTGTAGTACATAGACACTGCTGCTGCTACTCGCTAGCTCACGGCACTTGCCCCTACAGCCCTGCTAGAGGCTACCTGGGGTAGCTTTGTCTCTGTGTGGTGTGTGTGTAGTACATAGACACTGCTGCTGCTACTCGCTAGCTTGCAGCACTTGCCCCTACAGCCATGCTAGAGGCTACCTGGGGTAGCTTTGTCTCTGTGTGGTGTGTGTGTAGTACATAGACACTGCTGCTGCTACTCGCTAGCTCACAGCACTTGCCCCTACAGCCCTGCCGGAGGCTACCTGGGGGAGCTTTACCTGTGTCTGTGTGCGCTCCAGGTGTGGCAGGGGGCCAACGCGGTGAAGACGGCGCGGAAGATGCTGGGTGAGACGAAGCCGGACGACTCGAACCCCGGCACCATCCGGGGAGACTTTGCTGTGCAAGTGGGACGGTGAGGGAGACACACGGGGAGAGAGCGAGAGAGACACGGGGAGGGGGAGACAGGGGAGGGGGGGGGGAGACGGGGAGAGAGACACTGGGGGGAGGGAGACAGGGGGAGGGAGACACGGTATGGGGGAGACACGGGCAGGGAGAGACACGGGCAGGGGGAGACACGGGCAGGGGGAGACACGGGCAGGGGGAGACACGGGCAGGGGGAGACACGGGCAGGGGGAGACACGGGCAGGGGGAGACACGGGGAGGGAGGGAGACACGGGGAGGGAGGGAGACACGGGGAGGGAGGGAGACACGGGGAGGGAGGGAGACACGGGCAGGGGGAGACACGGGCAGGGGGAGACACGGGCAGGGGGAGACACGGGCAGGGGGAGACACGGGCAGGGGGAGACACGGGCAGGGGGAGACACGGGCAGGGGGAGACACGGGCAGGGGGAGACACGGGCAGGGGGAGACACGGGCAGGGGGAGACACGGGCAGGGGGAGACACGGGCAGGGGGAGACACGGGCAGGGGGAGACACGGGCAGGGGAGACACGGGCAGGGGGAGACACGGGCAGGGGGAGACACGGGCAGGGGGAGACACGGGCAGGGGGAGACACGGGCAGGGGGAGACACGGGCAGGGGGAGACACGGGCGAGGTGGGAATGATTTGCGAGTGTCTGTGTTAGTGGTAAAGCAACGCTGTCGTGGACATTGCTGTGGTGGGGAGGGCCAATTCCGATTGGCCTTTCCCCTCATGGCGTCTGTGACCACCACAGCGGCCAAAAGGGAGCTCTGGACGGGTGCGAGGGGCTGGTAACCCCTCCACCTTCAATTAATTACCACTAAACTACGACCGAAAAATTTAATTAGCATGCTTGTGCCGGAGGCCCCGGGGGACAGGCTTCTATGACGTCTCCTGGCCAAACCCCATTTGGCGGAGCCAGGAGATTGAGTCTTCACCCTCGGGGCTCTTCAAGAAACAACGAAAAGCCACTACGTGTGGCCACGTGGAATGTTTCGAAGGCTCACTGCGGAGGAGAGGCTGCCACTCCTCTGTCGGGAGCTGGACCGGTACCGCCTGGATTTCTGTGGCATTCAGGAGGTCCGGTGGACCGGCTCTGGCTCCTGTCACCATGAGGGGTGGACAGTCCTCTACTCGGGGCAGGAGACTGCCAAACAACAGGGAGTGGCTCTTCCTCTGAACAAAAGAATGAAGGGGGCGTGGGAGTGTGGCGGTGCCTGGGTATTTTGTACCATCGGACACTCCACCCCCACAACTCCCAATCAGTGATGGGGCAGTTGTGGAGAGTTTCTCATACCTGGGCAGTGTGCTCATGACTGGCTCCGGTTTAACAGCAGAGGTCTCACTCCGAATCAGTCGAGCGGCAATATCTTTTCATCGGTTGCGTAATACTGTGTGGAAGCTACCTGGTCTGTCGCTCCGCACAAAGCTTCGGGTCTTTTCGGCCACGGTCATTCCCTCCCTTCTCTACGCTTGCGAAACGTGGACTCCCCTAATGGAACATCTTCGCCGGTTGGAAACATTTAGGCTGGCCTGCCTACGACCCATCCTGGGTTTAACCAGGCTGGATTGTGTGAGGAGCTCACAAATCCTTGAAAGATTTGGGCAAAGTCCCATCGGTGAGCTCCTCCGGCAGGCAAGGCTGCGTTGGCTGGGTCATGTAGCCCGCATGCCCAGCCACCGCATGCCTAAACAGCTTTTGTTCGGCCGGATCGAGGGAGCTAAACGGGCGCGGCACGGGCTAGAGAAGAGATGGAGTGATGTGGTACAGGAGGACGTGGAGCTGAGTGGACTTGCCGATGACTGGTACCAGCGGTGTCAAGATCGGCCTCTGTGGAGGAGGCTCGTGAAGGACGCTACTGGGCAGTTGGAGGCAGTCGCCCTCCAACAACAACGGAGGGCGGAGGAGCGACGCTCACAACAACGAGCGGAGCGCCGGGTGGCTAAAGCACAGTAGGGGGCACAGGTGATGCATCAGCCAGTCATCTCGGTCATCTCGGTCAGTCGACCCGTGGCACCTGCTGGGTCTGCCCCGTGACCTCCTGCCAGCGGGCGTTCGACACTTCACGTGGTGCACATGGCCTGGCACAAGCGTCGTGGTGACGTCACCGCCACTTGGTGGCGAATGGCGGTTGTTGTTGTTGTTGCAGCCTATAGCAATAGGATTGCCTAGCGACGACTGACCGGCTGATAAGACTTGGCACGGGCGTTAGATTAAAAAAATAGATCTTCCGTTGACGACTGAAAGTCAAGATCATTTTGTGTTAGCGAGATTCATCACCTCTCCCCCCCACCACTCTCCCCCCCCCACTCTCCCCCCCCACTCTCCCCCCCACCACCACAGCAACATCATTCACGGCAGCGACTCTGTGGAGAATGCGGAGAAGGAGATAGCTCTGTGGTTCACGGCTGAAGAGGTCACCTCCTGGAAGAGCTGCGCTCACGACTGGGTCTACGAATAGTCAAGACCACTACTACCTACCACCCACTACTCTACCACCCACTACTACCTACCACCCACTACTCTACCACCCACTACCACCCATCACTAGTACTACTAGCACCCACCACACACACACTGACACTCGCTCACACTGACACACACACACACACTCACTGACACACACACTGACTGACATACACACACTCACACACACACTCACACACTCACTCACTCACACACACACTCACTGACACACACTCACACACACTCACACACACTCACACACACTCACACACACTCACACACACTCACACACACTCACACACACTCACACACATTCACACACACTCACACACACTCACACACACTCACACACACTCACACGCACACTCTCACTCACACACACTCACACACACACTCTCACTCACACATACACTCACTGACAGTGTTCCATGCTCCCGGCGTATGCTGTGTTCACCGCCCTCTCTCCCAAGTGAATAAAGTTGCTCTGACCGACCCTGCCTCCTCTGTCTGTGAACCTCATTAAACAGGACCCTGTGGGATGGGCTGGTAGGAACGAACAATTGAATGGCTATAATAAAATGAAATGGCAAATAAGTATAACCCGTAAAAACAAAGTTTTTCACTCTAAATCCTTTATATGCGTGGTGGCTAGAGTCCTCTCGTCCTCTGGCTTGAGATGGCTGCCACCTATGGGTCAGATGATTTGTCTGCCAGTATTAAGCAATTGGTAATTAAATATTTAATTTGTTTTCCCTAAAAGTGTAAAATTTTGGGAATATTTTTTTCACGAACATTAATTGTCACGCACAACGAGTCTGTGTGCAAAATGTCAGCTCGATTGGATCACGGGAAGTGGGTTAAAAAACGACCGAAAGGTTTGCACGGTCGTAAGCAAGCACGCGAACTTAATATAAAGGATTTAAAAAAATTAACCCGTAAAAACAAAGTTTTTCACTATAAATCCTTTATATGCGTGGCATCGGTTTTATTTTATTATTCATTTCTGTTTTTCTTGAGTAAGAGTTTCATTTTTATCACATTGGTATTTTAAATTAAATATTAAATGTTTTTTTTCCTAAACAGTGTAAAATTTTGGAAAAAAATTTTCACGAACATTAATTGTCTCACAACGAGTCTGTGTGCAAAATGTCAGCTCGATTGGATCACGGGAAGTGGGCTAAAAAACGAGCGAAAGATTTGCACGGTCGCAAGCAAGCACGCAAGCAAGCAAGCGAACTTAATATAAAGGATTTAAAAATGGCTGCCAATAAGTGGATGGCCTGTGGCCCCGCCCCATCTCGGTGTCCCCGCCCCTTACCGCCGTAGCCCCGCCCAATAGACCCCGAGCGGGGGAGAGATTCCCAGGCCTGGCTCTAGGCTGGAGACCCGCCGACGAGGGGGGGGGGGGGTAGGGAGTTGTTTTTAATGTAAAAGCTTTACATGTAAATGTTTCTATTTAAAAACATCAGGGAATGTAACATTGTTAAACATTAATTCCCTTTCACACACGCGGGGGAACTATACGAAGGGAGACTTTGAGGCCTAGGTCTAGGCTTTAGGCCTAGCTGTAGGCTTTAGGCCGCCGTGAGTTAATTGTTAATTTAAATGTTTTAAATATTAATGTTAAAGCTTTAAATGTAAATGTTTCTATTTAAAAACATGAGGGAATGTAACATTGTTAAACATTAACTCCCTTTCACACACGCGGGGGTACGATACGAAGGGAGAGTTTGAGGCCTAGTTCTAGGCTTTAGGCCTAGCTGTAGGCTTTAGGCCGCTGTGAGTTAAATTTTAATTTCAAAGTTTTAATTAAAAGCTATCTCAGGGAATTATAAGGGAATGTTACACTTGTTTAGCCAGGAAAGCGTCACTGAGTCTAAAAGGTTTTTGTAGGGTCATGCCAAGTGTTTGCAGTAGAGGGCGATGCTGCTACATAGACGGATGGACAGACGGACGGACGGACGATATAATCTATTGTAGGCTGGTCCACTTCGTTCCTACCAGTAAAAATTCATACACGCCACGCCCATCTCATGCATATTCATGAGGAGCTGGCACACTCATCTCGTTCAGCTAACAGCACTTGCCCCTACAGCCCTGCTAGAGGCTACCTTGGGGAGCTTTGTGAGTGGTGTGTGTAGTACATAGACACTGCTGCTGCTACTCGCTAACAGTACTTGCCCCTACAGCCCTGCTGGAGGCTACCTGGGGGAGCTTTATCTGTGTGTGTGTGGTGTATGTAGTACATAGACACTGCTGCTGCTACTTGCTAGCTAACAGCACTTGCCCCTACAGCCCTGCTAGAGGCTACCTGGGGGAGCTTTGTGAGTGGTGTGTGTAGTACATAGACACTGCTGCTGCTGCTACACGCTAGCTAACAGCACTTGCCCCTACAGCCCTGCTAGAGGCTACCTGGGATAGCTTTGTCTGTGTGTGGTGTGTGTAGTACATATCCAGTTTAACACGTAGCAGGCTTTCGCGACCAATATTATTCATAATAAAGTTTTTGGGTTTAGATCGCGTTATTTATAAATGTGTCGCAATCCTCCACCACCCGACACGGCCAATCAGCAAAAAAGTGTCACGTTGACAAAAGACAAATAGTTCACTGCTTTAGCCCCATACCGGTGTGTTGAAGCCACAACATTTACAATTTGAGTTGTACGACGTTTCGCTGGTAATTGCATCCAGCATCATCGGGCAATTCGTCAGAATGGTGAGGCTCTGCTGTCTCCCGTTCTTATATAGAGCAGCAGCAGCAGCAGGGTGACATCATCATTGACTCATTAACTCATCAGGTGCAAAGATTTGAGGGGGGAGTGATTGTAATTATATACTAGATTAGTAATCAGGCTATTGTTACGATGCGAGTTGTAGATTAGTAATCATTTGGAATGTGTTTTATTGTGATTATGCTACATTAGTAATCAGTTAGTGGTTGTTTCCCTTATAAGGAATTGTAATGTATCTTATTTATGTGTAGTACATAGACTGCTGCAACTCGCTAGCTAACAGCACTTGCCCCTACAGCCCTGCTAGAGGCTACCTGGGGGAGCTTTGTCTGTGTGTGGTGTGTGTAGTACATAGACACTGCTGCTGCTACTCGCTAGCTAACAGCACTTGCCCCTACAGCCCTGCTAGAGGCTACCTGGGGGAGCTTTGTCTGTGTGTGGTGTGTGTAGTACATAGACACTGCTGCTGCTACTCGCTAGCTAACAGCACTTGCCCCTACAGCCCTGCTAGAGGCTACCTGGGGGAGCTTTGTCTGTGTGTGGTGTGTGTAGTACATAGACACTGCTGCTGCTAACAGCACTTGCCCCTACAGCCCTGCTAGAGGCTACCTGGGGGAGCTTTGTCTGTGTGTGGTGTGTGTAGTACATAGACACTGCTGCTGCTACTCGCTAGCTAACAGCAATTGCCCCTACAGCCCTGCTAGAGGCTACCTGGGGGAGCTTTGTCTGTGTGTGGTGTGTGTAGTACATAGACACTGCTGCTGCTACTCGCTAGCTAACAGCAATTGCCCCTACAGCCCTGCTAGAGGCTACCTGGGGGAGCTTTGTCTGTGTGTGGTGTTTGTAGTACATAGACACTGCTGCTGCTACTCGCTAGCTAACAGCACTTGCCCCTACAGCCCTGCTAGAGGCTACCTGGGGGAGCTTTGTCTGTGTGTGGTGTGTGTAGTACATAGACACTGCTGCTGCTACTCGCTAGCTAACAGCACTTGCCCCTCTAGCCCTGCTAGAGGCTACCTGGGGGAGCTTTGTCTGTGTGTGGTGTTTGTAGTACATAGACACTGCTGCTGCTACTCGCTAGCTAACAGCACTTGCCCCTACAGCCCTGCTAGAGGCTACCTGGGGGAGCTTTGTCTGCGTGTGGTGTGTGTAGTACATAGACACTGCTGCTGCTACTCGCTAGCTAACAGCACTTGCCCCTACAGCCCTGCTAGAGGCTACCTGGGGGAGCTTTGTCTGTGTGTGGTGTGTGTGCTAGCTAACAGCACTTGCCCCTACAGCCCTGCTAGAGGCTACCTGGGGGAGCTTTGTCTGTGTGTGGTGTGTGTAGTACATAGTACATAACTCTGATAATGTATGCACTGTCCTTGAAGTTGATTGGTCCACACCCGAGACAGCTTTCCTTAGAGCCTAGTCTCACTTGGTGAGACTATTGTTGTTTGCATTATGACTGCAGCTATTGTGGTCAATGCAAACATGACTCCTTGTAAAAAAAGGTGTCAGTTTTGTTGCCAGATAAAAGGGTAAAAAACCAATTATCAAGTTCAGTTTTGTTATGGGTCTCGATCAGTATGGGTCTCTGTACGTATCTATGGGTCTCTGTACGTATCTGTGGGTCTATGTGGGTTTCTGTGGGTCTATGTGGGTTTCTATGGGGCTATGTGGGCTCTATGGTTCTACATGAGTCTCTGAATCTCTGTGGATTTCTATCGATCTCTATGAGTATATGGGTATCTATGGGTCTCTGTAGATCTCTCTGAGTCTGAAAAAATTTGCGTTTGAAAGTATTTGGATTTTTCCCCTCCACATTTAGAATCAACATGACCACGCCTTTCGAGTATTTGGCTGCTATAAATTTCCACATGATGATGATGATATCATCCACATCGTTGATCTATTATCATTTGTGAAAGTCAGAACACTTCTGATAAAGAGCTACGACATAGCTCAGTGGGGCCTTAACACCTGGTAAAATAAATAAAACAAATGTTTATAGTTTGTAAAGTCTTGGTTCAGAGTGGATTGCTTGTCGTTGAAAGTGGCTGCTTGCGTTGCCATGGAAAGGTCATCCGCCATGTACACAAACACATTTTCGAGGTCCTGGTTTGGTGAAGAATACAGGGAAACAAACGCATTGCCTTTCACCAGCACTTCAATAGCGTCCACTTCCTCGTCAAGGCGTGAAGTCACACGCAATGCCTCCTTTTCGACCACCCCTCAGAGACGATCACCCCTCCCTGTGCCTGTGTTGCCCGCTCTGTGTATCTTGGTGATATCTGTCTGCTTATATGTGTGTCTATATATTTTTTCTGGTTAGATTTTATGTCGCTATTTCATTATACCCGATGATGATTGCTTGTGTTGCAATCGAAACGTCGTAGTATGCTATTATTTAATTTATTATTTTTTCTTTATACACGTGACTTTACCGAACGAACGAAAGAATAATTACTGCAGTCACGAAAGCTCCAAAGTTAAGACGGATACTCTTAGTTTTTTCGGTAAAGTCACGAAAAAAAACCTAAGAGTATGAATCCTTGCAGTCACGAAAGCTTCAAATCTAGGATCTTGAACGGAGTTTGAAAAGGGAACTCACAAACAAACGCCGTCTCCATGTTGGGAAAGTCCCAAACCCAAAAAGTCACTGGGGTTTGACTTATCACGAAACTCCTCATGGTCCAACCCTTAAACCAAATCGAGTGCACAAACCAGGAATGCAGCAGGGGAAGCATCGGCAGAAGATGCCGATACCTGATTATGCACAAATGTAAAATAAAAGAATTAAACACTGGTTAGTTCAGCGTGACTGTGGTCATCCAGAGCAAACCGGACGTATGTGTGAACGTTGGACTTCTTTCGCACCATACATAGTCAACCGTGCTAATATGTGGGTCCCTTTAGGTCTTTATGGGTGTCTGTGGGTCTCTGTGTGTGTATGTGTGTGTGCGTTAAACTTCTGTTGCACCGTACGTAGCCAACCGCGCTCATCTGTGGGTCTCTCTGTGTCTCTATGAATCTCTGTGTATGTATATATGTGTATGCTAACTTATTTTGCACCGTTTGTAGCCAACCGTGATAATCTGTGGGTCTATGTATGGCTCTATGGGTGTCAGTGGGTCTCTGTGTATGTCTGTGTGTGTGTATGTTGAATATCTTTTTCACCGTACGTAGCCAACCGCGCCAATCTTTGGGTTTCTGCAGGTGTCTATGGGTGTCTGTGAGTCTCTGTGTATGTGTGTATGTGTATGTTGAACTTCTTTTGCACCGTACTAATTGGAGGTGCGGTGGAAGGACAACAAATTGCACCTTTGGAATCAACGTCACGCATTTATGGAGTGTTTTGCTGCCGTCATATATTTCCACGCGATGACGACGATGACATCGGCTACTTCTTTGAGTTGCTGTGATTTGTCATTGCCAGGGTCGCTTCTGAAGAAAAGCTAAGTAGCTCAGTGGGGTCTAACACCTGGTAAAATACAAAATATATTGTTCAGTTTCAATATGGGTCTTGATCCGCATGGTCTCTGTGGGTCTCTGTGGGTTTCTGTGGGTCTCGATGTGTTTATGTGGCGTTATGTGGGTTTCTGTGGGTTTCTGTGTGATTCTGTGGGTCAATGTGGGTCTCTGTAGGTCTCCATGGGTTTCCGTGGGTCTTTGTGGGTTGCTGTGGTCTATGTGAGTTTTTTGGGTATCTGTGGGTCTCTGTGGGTTTCCGTGGGTCTCTGCGAGGTTCTGTAGGTCTCTGTGGGTTTCTGTGGGTCTCTGCGGGTTCCTAAGGATCTTTGTGTGTTTATTTGGGTCGCAGAGTAAACAAAGTCCCTCCAACGAGTCAAGGTGATGGTTCAGGGTGGAGGGGGGGGACCAGCTACACCGGTGACGAATATCTGAACCGGTAGGTCCCCAGGGCCTTCTCCAACGAGGCCGATTCAGGCCTCAAATGAGTAACGTGTTGGATTGGTGGTGGTGTGCAGTAGCAACGATCGCCACTGGCGGTGAGAGAGACAAAGGCGGCCGTGCTGGCGTGGTGCTGGCCACACAACCCCTTTAAGTGCCTGGGTCCAAAAGGGGACCTTGCGTGTGACTTCAAGTCACGGCGAAGGAGGGGACGCTACTGAGGCGCTGGCAAATGACTAGGCGATTGTTTCCCTGCATTGTTTACCAAACCAGAGGCACGCAAATTTGCTTGTGTACACGTGGCGGATGACCTTGCCATGGCAACGCGAGCAGCCACTTTCAACGACAATGAATCCACTCTCAACCAAGACTTTACAAACTCTAAAAATGTATCTATTAATGTAGATATTTATTTATTTATTTTACCAGGTGTTAAGGCCCCACTGACCTATGTAGTAGCTAAATGTTTTTTTACCCTTCTATCTGGCAACAAAACTGACACCTTTTTACAAGGAGTCATGTTTGCATAGACCGCAATACCTGCATTCATAATACAAACAAAAAACATAACTCTGATAATGTATGCACTGTCCTTGAAGTTGATTGGTGCACACCCGAGACAGCTTTCCTTAGAGCCTAGTCTCACATCGTGTTGGACCAGATGACGCCAAAAGGCGCACGGTCTATGCAAACACAACTCCTTGCAAAAAGGTGTCAGTTTTGTTGCCAGATAGAAGGGTAAAAAACCAATTATCATATTTTTACTGGCAAATAAGGTTCCCATAGAGTGGACGTTATTGAGGCGCTGTGAATGGCAAGGCGATTGTTTTTCTGCATTGTTTACCAAACCATTGCCATGCCAATTTGTGTACACATGGCGAATAACCTGGTTCAAGTTCAAGTTCAGGTATTAGGTATAGAGCCCTGTGAGCCACTCGGCTCTTGAATCGGGTGCAACGGCAACAAACAAAGAACAAAAACATGAACAAGAAAACATCTTAAAGTGAATATGTGACTAAGTGCAAACAGAAAATCCAAGAAAAGACAGCAAATTATTGCAGAAAAAATCACCGTACACCAACGTTGTGTGCAAATATCCCAGTGGGATGCAAGTCAAACAACCAACAACAACCACAAGACAACTTAGATTAAGGCCATCAGTCTAACTCTGTACTACAACAAACAAACATGGCTAAACCAATACACTTTTCAAAATCACCAAAATAAAGCCATGAAAGCAATGAAACAGTGATCATAGGAACTGTGACGGAATTTTCACAATAAATGGTATGCAGGAGGTCGTGGATTTGATCCAGCACCCTGACGATTCCTGCTGTATATTTGTAGTCCGTGTTTCTCTCTCCATGGAGATGTTATGGGTGTCTGTGTGGTGAGTCTATGGGTGTCTGTGTGGTGAGTCTATGGGTGTCTGTGTGGTGAGTCTATGGGTGTCTGTGTGGTGAGTCTATGGGTGTCTGTGTGGTGAGTCTATGGGTGTCTGTGTGGTGAGTCTATGGGTCTCTGTGTGGTGAGTCTATGGGCCTCTGTGTGGTGAGTCTATGGGTCTCTGTGTGGTGAGTCTATGGGCCTCTGTGTGGTGAGTCTATGGGCCTCTGTGTGGTGAGTCTATGGGTCTCTGTGTGGTGAGTCTATGGGTCTCTGTGTGGTGAGTCTATGGGCCTCTGTGTGGTGAGTCTATGGGTCTGTGTGTGGTGAGTCTATGGGTCTCTGTGTGGTGAGTCTCTGAGTGGTGAGTCTATGGGTCTGTGTGTGTGTAGCGGTTGAGCAATAGTTAGCGCTACGCTGCGCTACGAACCATGGGGTCCCGAATTGGATTCCCGCTCACGGCCAACACACGCGACAATTATCTAAACCGGTACTGGGCCTCCCTTAGGTCGACTCAGCCTCAAATGAGGACGAGTAGCGATGTGTAAAGATCGCCACTGGGGAGACAAAGGCGGTCGGGTGTGGTGTTGGCCACCCACCCCCTCGTGTGCCGTGCCGGCCTTCATAGGTGCTCGCTAACAGCACTTGCCCTTACAGTCTGTTAAGGCTACACGGGGGATCTTTATCTTCATATTTTATATGATTGCAGTGGGGAGAGACAAAGGCGGCCGTGAGCGCGTGGTGCTGGCCACCCACCGCACCCACAGCACCCACAACACCCACCCTACCCACCCACCCCACCTACCCTACCCATCACACCCCAATTCGTGTGCCAGCCACATTTGCTTACATTGAACAACGAGCTAGGATAAATATATATTTACAAACCACCCCCAACTGCTTATACGCAAATATGTTTGTAGGAGTGTCTACCCCGATCCCAATAGTCTCTGGGGCTTATAAAGTCTCCCAGTTCACCACGCAGACTCAGTCACCGCTCCAGGGATATCTCTCTGTCTCTCTCTGACTCTGTAACTCTGTCTGTCTCAACTCGCCGACTTCCCATCCCAAAGCGCGATATCAACGCCAGGCTCCACGACTCGAACCATGACTTGCTACCTGCTGGGTCTGCTCCTCGTGGCGATGATGTTCGTGAGCGGAGGTGAGACAACTTCGCTGCTAAAGAAGTGTTTGTTGTTGCAAGAACACCAAAGCAACGCCGATACTGCGATGTATATAGAGATTTCGCTTTAAAGCTGCTTTCGTGACTGCAGCAGGGATTCATCTTCTTGGTTCTTTCGGTAAAGTCATCACGTAGAATGGAAATAATAAAATAATAAAAATAAAACATAATAAAATAATTCTCACGACGTTTCGGCCACAACGCAAGCAGCCGTCCTCAGGTGAAGAACAGGTCTGTCGAGAAGACAGCGTCTGACAGACCTGTTTGCCGTGATGATGATAATGATCGTCTGCCGTGATGATGATGATGATCGGTGTTGTTCTTTTGTCTTGATTTTGCGGATATACAGGGCAAAGCCTCAAATGCTTCGAGTGCAGCCCGACCATCAACAAAACGGCGTGCAACGAGCGCGGCCCCATCACGTGTTTCGACGCCTCGCTCGACACCTGCGGGACAATTCTCCTCTACAAGGGCTCCTGTAAGTGCGTCGCTTGTTCTCGCAAAGATGGGGATGGTGGTGGGCCCCTTGCGTTCAGCAGTGACTCCCAGGCTCATGATGCACTCGCAAGACACGCATCTGTCCTCACTTTGTGATGAGTCTATGGGTCTATGTGTGTGATGAGTCTATGAGGTCTCTGTGTGTGATGAGTCTATGGGTCTCTGTGTGATGAGTCTATGGGGTTTCTGTGTGGTGAGTCTATGGGGTCTCAGTGTGGTGATGAGTTTATGGGGTCTCTGTGTGGTGAGTCTATGTGGTCTCTGTGTGTGATGAGTCTATGAGGTCCTAGTGTGGTGATGAGTCTATGGGGTCTCTGTGTGGTGAGTCTATGGGGTCTCTGTGAGTGATGAGTCTATGGGGTCTCTGTGTGGTGAGTCTATGGGTCTCTGTGTGATGAGTCTATGGGGTCTCTGTGTGTGATGAGTCTATGGGGTCTCTGTGTGTGATGAGTCTATGGGGTCTCTGTGTGTGATGAGTCTCTGGATCTCTGTGTGGCGAGTCTATGAGTCTCTGTGAGTGATGAGTCTATGGGGTATATGTGTGATGAGTCTATGGGGTCTCTGTGTGTGATGAGTCTATGGGTCTCTGTGTGATGAGTCTATGGGGTCTCTGTGTGTGATGAGTCTATGGGGTCTCTGTGTGGTGAGTCTATGGGGTCTCTGTGAGTGATGAGTCTATGGGGTCTCTGTGTGGTGAGTCTATGGGTCTCTGTGTGATGAGTCTATGGGGTCTCTGTGTGTGATGAGTCTATGGGGTCTCTGTGTGTGATGAGTCTATGGGGTCTCTGTGTGTGATGAGTCTCTGGATCTCTGTGTGGCGAGTCTATGAGTCTCTGTGAGTGATGAGTCTATGGGGTATATGTGTGATGAGTCTATGGGGTCTCTGTGTGTGATGAGTCTATGGGTCTCTGTGTGATGAGTCTATGGGGTCTCTGTGTGTGATGAGTCTATGGGTCTCTGTGTGATGAGTCTATGGGGTCTCTGTGTGATGAGTCTATGGGTCTCTGTGTGATGAGTCTATGGGTCTCTGTGTGATGAGTCTATGGGGTCTCTGTGTGTGATGAGTCTATGGGTCTCTGTGTAATGAGTCTATGGGGTCTCTGTGTGGTGAGTCTATGGGGTCTCAGTGTGGTGATGAGTTTATGGGGTCTCTGTGTGGTGAGTCTATGTGGTCTCTGTGTGTGATGAGTCTATGAGGTCCTAGTGTGGTGATGAGTCTATGGGGTCTCTGTGTGGTGAGTCTATGGGGTCTCTGTGAGTGATGAGTCTATGGGGTCTCTGTGTGGTGAGTCTCTGGATCTCTGTGTGGCGAGTCTATGAGTCTCTGTGAGTGATGAGTCTATGGGGTATATGTGTGGGGGGTCTATGGGTCTCTGTGTGGTGATGAGTCTATGGGATCTCTGTGTGTGATGAGTCTATGGGATTTCTGTGTGGGGAGTCTATGGATCTCTGTGTGGGGAGTCTATGGATCTCTGTGTGGTGAGTCTAAGGGTCTCTGTGTGAGATGAGTCTATGGGACTATGTGTGTGTTGAGACTTTGGGTCTCTGTTTGTAAACAGTCTATGGGGTTGCTGTGTGCAGAGTCTATGGGTCTTTATGCGGTGATGAATCTATGGGGTTTCTGTGTGGTGAGTCTGTGGGTTCTCTGTGTGTGAGTCTATAGGTCTCTGTATGTGATGAGTCTATGGGGTCTCTGTGTCTGATGAGTCTATGGGTTTATTTACGTGATGAGTTCATGGGTTTCTGCATCCCAATTGGTGACTCTTCCCCAATGTGTTGATATTTCTTTGGGGTCCTCCGATGTTCCCCCCTCCACACGTTCGGAGTATTCTGCAGCCGCTTTACATTTTCACGCGATGAACAAGACCCTGCGGGGTGGGCTGGTAGGAATAATACTAATACCGGTACAGGGATATCGACCGGGTATAGAGGAGTTAAAAAGAAAATGATTTGTGCATGGGGGGTGAGCGATGACGTCCACACCCCCCTCCCCACTGACTCGCGCGCCCACAGAGCAAGGATTGCAACAGGCGATGTCATTGGCTGCGCCGAATGCGACTGCCATCTTGTTTAGTTCATTTAGTTCACCGATCGCAGGGGGAGCGGGCGGCCATCTTGTCGGACAGACGGACAGTCGGACGGACACATTAATCTATTGGTGGTCTGGTCCACTTCGTTCCTACCAGTATAATGGTGACGATATCAGCCACCGTTTGTGGTAGCGGCTTTTTGACTGGCTGTCGAACAAAGGTGGCCACTGCATCATCGCACGGAGCTTTCGGATGCGCTGCGAGAGATTTACACTTTTAAAACATCATCTCAATTGACATCCTCATTTCTTAAAACTGCTTTTTGTGTTTTAGTTTGTTTCCCTTCCCCGCGCACCTGCAATTAGCGCGGTGGGCTACGTATGGTGCGAAAGAAGTTCAACAAACACACACAAACATATACAGACACCTACACACAAAGATAAAGACCTACAGAGACCCACAGATTGCCACGGATGGCCACGTACAGCACAAAAGAAGTTCAACATACACGTACAGGTCACTGCATGACAGCTCAGCGGGGCTTACACCTGGTAAAATAACAATTACAAATATATTTGTAAGTGTTTTTAATGAAAAATGCTTTACTTACAATGAGACCCGCGTGCCTTCTCTTCCGCCCAGCCTACGTCCTCCTCAAGCAATGCCTCCCCAAGACCTTTTGCGACACCGTCAAAGTTTTCGACGGCACCTACAGCGGAGTCACGCTGACCACCACGTGCTGCCAGAGTGACGGTTGCAACGTCAACGCCGCCCCTCGACCTCTGGGCGCAGCTCACGTGACCCTGGCCCTGCTGGGCGTGGCCTCCAGCGTCGTGGTCAGCAGGGCTCTGGTGTAGGTCGTGACGTCACAGCCGCACCCCCCCCACCCACGACTCATCACACAGAGACCCATAGACTCACCACGCAGAGACCCATAGACTCACCACGCAGAGACCCACAGACTCACCGCGCAGAGATAGACTCACTACACAGAGACCCATAGACTAACCACGCAGAGATAGACTCACTACACAGAAAACCATAGACTCATCACGCAGAGACCCATGTACTTATCACACAGGACCCCATAGACTCATCACACAGAGTCCCATAGACTCACCACACATACACCCATAGACTCACCACACAGATACACGTAGACTCATCACACAAAAACCCATAGACTCACCACACAGAGACGCATTGACTCACCACACAGAGTCTCGTAGAGTCACCACACAGGGACCCATAGACTCATCACACAGAGACTCATAAACTCACCACACAGAGACCTGTAGACTCATCACACAGAAACCCATAGACTCAACACACAGAGACCCATAGACTCATCACACAGAGACACGTAGACTCATCACACAAAAACCCATAGACTCACCACACAGACTCATCACACAGAGACCCATTGACTCATCACACAGAGACGCATTGACTCACCACACAGAGTCTCGTAGAGTCACCACACAGGGACCCATAGACTCATCACACAGAGACTCATAAACTCACCACACAGAGACCTGTAGACTCATCACACAGAAACCCATAGACTCAACACACAGAGACCCATAGACTCATCACACAGAGACACGTAGACTCATCACACAGAAACCCATAGACTCACCACACAGACTCCTCACACAGAGACCCATTGACTCATCACACAGAGACGCATTGATTCACCACACAGAGTCTCGTAGAGTCACCACACAGGGACCCATAGACTCAACACACAGAGACCCATAGACTTATCACACAGAGACACGTAGACTCATCACACAAAAACCCATAGACTCAACACACAGAGACCCATAGACTTATCACACAGAGACACGTAGACTCATCACACAGAAACCCATAGACTCACCACACAGACCCAGGCTGATATTTTGTTCCGAGAAGTGAGTTGGCGTGAACTCTTATGGGAAGAGACGTAATCTAATATAAAACCGTGTGACGTGGGTTGGGCCCCCCACGTGATGTGGGTTGGGCCCCCCACGTGGTGCGGTGTGGGCCCCCCATTGCGGTGCGGGGGCGAGGCGGTGCGCGAGAACGCTCTGCTGAGCGCCAGCGAGCGCGTGCGCTACCGCCGCCCCGGGGCCATTGGCCCTGGCAAACCCGCCGGCGTCACCCCCCGTGACGAAGTCAACACCGGGTCCCGATGCCACCACCCGGCCCAGACGCCACCCGCAGCGATGGCTCCGGCTCAGCTGCTGGAAGTCCGTCCTGAGCTGCCGTGGTTCAGGCCCGGCGGTTTGCGTCGCTGACCCTGGTGGCGCCGCGGTGCCCACCACCCGGCCAAGCGGTCGCGCCCACCCCGTGAGCTGTTTACCGGCCTGCAGGATGCGGGCGACCCACATCGATGTGGCCTCGTCCGGCGTCACCACCGGCGTGACAACGCCGGCGCGGCGAAGCAAAGGCGACGAGGTGCTCGACCACGAGGTTCTTGCTTGCCTTGTCGGCAGGGCGAGGGAAGGCTTTCCTTGCCAACACCAGCAGCGCCACCCCTGTAGGCTAGAGTTTGACTCTCTAGCCTCCCACTGGCGGTCCTGAAACCCTCTGAAGGCGCCCTCGGCAAGTGAGTAAATTTCCCCAAAAGCCTCGGAGGCTGCCTATAGAGTGGTCATGCCGTGCGTGGGAAGGGAGGTTAAAGATGCGCACATCATCATCCAGAACGGATGGCAGCTCTCGTAGCACCTCTTCGTCCGACCATCGTGTTTGGCCGCACGTTCGATAAAACCTGCGTCTGGCTACGCGCTGTTTTTCTTAGATTGCGAGCGGTTAACCTCAAATTGAAACCTCAGTTGCAGACGTCCGTTCGGTATTGTGGGCACACAGTCAGCAAGGCAGGTATTGCGACAGACCCCGATGAAACTGCATGCCTGTGCAGATGGCTAACCCTCAAGTCGGCGGGAGAGGTGCGTAGCTTTATCGGATTTGCATCCTACTACCGCCGCTTTGTCCCCCGGTTCGCCACCGTTGCCGAACCCCTCCACGCCATGACGGCGAAGTGCCAAACATTTCGATGGCGAGCAAAGGAAGAGACCGCATTCGTTGCGCTCTGCGATGGGCTGGTGGACGCACCTTCCCTCAGACACCCAGATATTTCATTACCATTCATCCTGGACGCTGACGCTAGCAACACGGGCATTGGCGCAGTGTTGTCCCAGGTGGCGAACGGGGTGGAGAGAGGGTCGTGGCGTATGGCGGCAGACTGATGTCCCCGGCTGAGCAACGCTATCGCGTGACGCGTCGCGAACTGCTTGCTATGATCTTCTTGGTTTTTTTCGGTTAAGTTACGTAGAAGGGAAGTAATAAAATAATACAAATAAAACATAATAAAATAATTCTCACGACGTTTCGGCTACAACGCAAGCAGCCGTCTTCAGGTGAAGAATGAGACACTGCCAAGCTAGGAGCTTATATATAAGCTGAGTTTGAGGTGGAAGAAGAGCGCCTTAACAAAAGAATGTGCATTTCAAGAGGAATTTAGCATATTCATGGAAAATGAGTAGGAGGTGGGCGGAGGGGTTTCAAAGTCATATTATGCCCGTGCATTATGCAGGATCAGCAGCACCAAAGGGAGGGGGCAGGGGGTAGCATTAACAAAGGGAGGGAATGTTAATAGTATGTAGAAGCAATGAAACATGTGAATGGGAGAATGGTGGCCGGAGACCCGCAGTGGAGCAAATAATGCATTCCTTGTGGAGAACACAAGATACACAGTTAATGCCAGTGAGTGAACTGCGTTCTGAAAGTCACCGTAAACGTGAACAACAGTGATCTTCATACAGCAGCACCGCCCCTGTCTGTATGGCAGGCGATTCGAAGTGTGTTCCAATCACGCCGTCCTCCAGTACTCTTCATGCTTCTTGGTTCTTTCGGTGAAGTCACGTAGAAGGGAAGTAATAAAATAATAAAAATAAAACATAATAAAATAATTCTCACGACGTTTCGGCCACAACGCAAGCAGCCGTCCTCAGGTGAAGAATGAAACACCACCATTTTATTTTATTATGTTTTATTTTTATTATTTTATTACTTCCCTTCTACGCGACGACTTTACCGAAAGAACCAAGAAGATGAATCCCTGCAGTCACGAAAACTTTAAATCGAGAATTATTTTATTATGTTTTATTTTTATTATTTTATTACTTCCCTTCTACGCGACGACTTTACCGAAAGAACCAAGAAGATGAATCCCTGCAGTCACGAAAGCTTTAAATCGAAATTTTACTCTTCACGCGTTGAGCAACCATCCGGCCAGCTCTCCCGCTGATTGGAAATCCCGGCAGGACTACTCATTCCGGGTGTCTTACCGTAAGGGTGCGATGCACACCGATGCGGACGCGCTTTCGCGGATTCCCCTGGGCGACGAACGTGCGTGCCTCTGGGGTTCGGCGCCGATGCAGATTGACTACCGCGGCCGTGCCTCCTCCGGTTGTCCGGTCAGCGGGGACCTCCGCCGCTGATAATCCCGGCGATTCCGTCGCACGCGATGCCACGCTTGGGTTGAGCCACGAAAATTGGGGGCGCCTCCAGGCTGAGGACGCCTCCCTATAGAAAGTACGGCACCGCGTCAGCGATACGGGCGATGGGTTGAACCGATGCAGGGTAGCTCCTGTCATTCTCAAGGAAGGTCTTTGAATGTGTTGGGACAGTGGCTTGCGTCGCCACGGCATCGTGGTACCTACGAGCCTCAGGGGTAGACTAATTTTGGCCATCCACAAGCGATTGATGCACCTGGGTGTTTACAAAACTCTGGCAACCTCTGCTTGGTTCTTTCGGTAAAGTCGTCACGTAGAAGGGAAATAATAAAATAATAAAATACAATTCTCACGACGTTTCGGCCACAACGCAGGCAGCCGTCCTTGCGTTGTGGTGACTTTACCGAAATAACCAAGAAAATGAATCCCTGCTGCAGTCACGAAAGAAGCTTTAAATCGAAACTCTGGCAACCGTTAAGCTTGATCTTTTTTTGGGCCCGGAATGGCGGGAGTCATCAAGAACGTCCTGAAGGGTTGTGTGCAGTGTGCTCGCCGCAAACCGCCATCTGCTCAATGCTGCCTGCCCTTGCAATCTATTCGGGTTTTCCGTATCAACGAGCTCGTCGCACTCGATATACTTTGACCTGTCCCCGTCACAGCCTGAGGTAATAAATACTTGCTGGTGGGTGTGGAGTATTTCTGCTGTTGGCCTGTGGCTTGGCCCCTCCCCAAACAATCGGCCGCCGCCATCACCGAAGCATTTCTGCATGGATACGTGCCGGATAAGGGAGCCCCAGAGCGCCTCCTTACTGACCAAGGGAAAACATTTTCATCCAAATTATTGCAAGAAGTGTGCGACCTTTTGGGCACGAAGAATCCCCAGACGGATTGGATGGTTTAGCGACTTAAGAGGACTGTAACATCTATGTTGAGTCAGCAGGTCGATGCATCCCAGAAACATTGCGATCTGCACATTTCAGGGGCACTTGCAGCCTACAGAATAGCTCCGCATGTTTCCACCGGCTACTCGCCATTCTTTCTAATGGACGGGAGAGAACCAAACCCTCCCCACTGAAGTCCAGCTAAAGACGGCTCCTAGGAAGCCGAGGGTTACCACCTCACAACTCATGCGTTTCACCTTTCAACGGGTTTCGGAAGCACGCGAGGCTTCGAAAGAAAATTCCGCCCCACGGAAATCGGCCAACGAACGTCTCAGTCGGGTAAATGGTGGGCCCCGAGGGACAGGGCTTGGCTGCACTGCCCTCAAGTACGCGTGGGCACATCCCCCCAGTTGTACAGACCCTGGCGAGAGCCGGTTAAGGTGATACGGGCCGACCGGCCACAATATGTTAATATCCAGTTCGGCCGCCAGAATTGGTTTGCGCATCCATCCCGCCTTAAGCCTTTTGTCACTCCCCGTCACATCCCTTTATCTCCAATCCACGAGGGCCGAGTTTGCCAGGCGAGCTGGGGGGCGCGTGCCTGTTGAGGTTGTGGTTCTGAGGTTCGCCCACAGGACCGGAGTGCGTGACACCCTCAACGCCGTCGGCTGCTGCTTCTCCGGACGCTCTGCTGGGTGCGGAGCGGCTGTTGACCAGCCGTTCCCCGCCGACGCCGTTATCTCCTATGGAGGGACTGCGCCAGTTGGCCAGTATTCAAGTCCCTCCTGGGCCTTCCAGGGAGCTTGGGCCTACGTAGCCTGGGGGTCCGGCCACGCGGACTCGTTCTAAGACCGTTAGCTTCCTGTGACTCTCACACACCTTGCTGGTTGCCTACGCCGTCGGTCGCACAGTCATGCTCACATGTCATGAAGGTCATTGGCTGACCCTGGTTTTTTTCGTTGTACTGTGCACGCGCGATTTTACATGGGTGCACCGTACGGAGGGAAGGAAGAACGCATGGAAGGAGGGGAATGAAACGACAACAACAAATGTACATCAACCGGTTAACTCGCTTACCCCCCCTTGAAGCTTTCGTGACTGCAAGGATTCATATTCTTAGGTTTTTTTTATTTTACTTGATACAGCCGTCGGGCTGTGACGGTTCCACCTGAAGACGGAAGCTTGTGCTGCCTCCGAAACGTCGGGATTTTTTTATTTTTATTTTTAATTTTACTTTTATTTATTTAAATTTTTTACCTACGTGACTTTACCGAAAAAACCTAAGAATATGTTATTCGCGGTATTTATTGTCAGTCGCCGGTTATTTATTGACGTTGCTTTTTAGGGAGGCACACCTTTCCAGTTTTCTATAGTTGCGTTACAGCCGGGACGGCTGTGTGTTACACGGAGGGGGGGGGGGGTGATGTTGTGACATATGACGTCACTTCTATGTCGGGATTGTATGAGCGTGGCACTCCGCGTGAAACCCAACTGGACAC